TTGATGTTACTAGAGACACAGAAAGAACTGTTAGACTATAAAGGACTTGGAATAAATGTTCTTGAAATGAACCACAGAAAGACAGTCCCTGACTTCACTAAAATTGTAGATACAACAGAGAATCTGGTATGATAATTATATATAATATATATTACATATATAAATATTCCTGATAACTACAAGGTGAGTTTGTTTTGTTTTGTTTTTTTTGATTTGTGTATGTGTGCCCAAGAAGGTGGATCTGGCCAGTAGAGTGCTGTACCCTTAAACTTGACTGGCTTAAAAGAAGGAAGGTGTACCAACTGTATAGTAGAAGGAGTCTGGTCAGTGAAGAGGCCAAAAAGTTTGCTACAGTTAATATTCACCTGAAATGAGCATTATATGGAAGTTCATAATCCAAGAATTACAAAATTTCAATCTGGATGCATTTTATGTGTATTGCTACACAAATTAAGGAGTCCGTGATGCCCATTTAATTTTCATAACTAATGTTAAGGGAACAGAATTTGTCTGTGACATGTCCTGAAACTTCTCTTGTAAGTCACTAGATGCTTATAAGTCTGAAGTTAGTTTTGCGGACACTCAAAAGAATGGTAGCTCTGCTAGGGTCTTTGTGGTAGTAGTATATGAGAACTTGTTGGGATTTGAACTCAAAAACTGCTCATAGGTATTAGACTATAAAGTTCAAGTTGGGAACAACTCCTTATACAATCTCTTCAGTATCATAGATTCGGTAGTGGAATAGATTTTTTTTTTTAAATAGAGGTGCTGTAGGTATGGAAGAGCTTAGCATTATCAAATCACAAATGTTATCATTGATAAACCCCAAAGATTCTGTATGACCATGGAGAAAGAGAAGTAAAATGAGCATTCCTTTCCATGTTGGTGGTGCAGTTTAGAAAAGAAGTTTCTTGATAAAGCTCTTCACTTTGACATGATCTTGTTGAAAAGGTGCAGGTCTCTTGGAGGGATCTGTGCTTCTCTGTATATGAGACACAATAGAAGATGTTCAGAAGCTAGCCACATTCATGAAGAATTTTTTGAAAATACATCAGCTGTGAATCCTTTGGTGCAAGAAAAGGTGACTACTCTCCCCACTGTCATATAGTTTTGGAAATTCTAGCAATAGCAAAAGCAAGAGAAAGCGTTAAAAAAAAATAAAGATAGGTAAGGAGAAGATAAAAGTATCCTTGTTCACTGATGATATTATGGTTTACTTGGTAAATCTCAGGGAATCCGCAAAAATACTAATTTAGACAATAGCTTCAGCAAACTTGCAGGTTACAAAATAAATCCTCAAAAATCAACAGCATTTCCATATAATAATAACAAAATACAAGAAGCAATAATAGAAAGAAAAAATCCCATTCTAAATAACTTAAGAATGCACAAAATATCTAAGGAATAGCTTCCCAAAGCACACAAAAGATTTGTATAGATTCAATTACAAAGCACTTCTTAAAGAATTAAAGAACAACCTAAATAGCTGTAAGAATTAAGTGCCTGTGTCTAGGCCATGCCGATGTAATAAAAATAACAATACTACCAAAATTAACTTATACTTTTAATGCTATATCAGTCAAATTATCGAGAGGCTGTTTTACAGAGCTTGGCAAAATAATTTTTGAAAATTATTTGGAAAAACAAATGATCTAGAATATCAAGGGAATGATGAAAAGAAGTAAGGACAAAGAGAATATTCCCAGAATACCTTTCCAGAACTCAAATTATGTTATGAAGCAGCAGTCACCAAAACCATTTGGTATTGACTAAAGAATAGAAAGATCATTGGAACAGACTATATAAGGCAGATTCAGAAACAATAGAATTTAATAACACGGTATTTGATAAAGTGGAAAAGATAAGTTACCTATAGAAAAACTTCCTATTTGGTAAAAACTGCTGGAAAAATGGAAAACACTCTGGCAGAAATTAAGCTTAGACCAACAGCTCATACCACACTCCACAACACATTTTAAATGGATACATGACCTTAGTGTAAAAGATCATACTATTAAAAAATTAGAAGAGAAACAGATCATATAACTTTTATAGCTATGGATAAAAGATGCATTCTTAATCAAACAAGAGATAGAAGCAATTATAAAAGATAAAATAGATAGCTTTGATTACTTGAAACTGAAAAGCCTCTGCATAGAAAACATTCATGCATCTAGGATAAGAAGGGAATTAGTTGAATGTGAAAAAAACTTCATATCAAATATCTCTGATAAGGGTCTGGTATGCAAGATATATAAGCAATTAATATGTATGTATGTAGGGAGCTAGGTGGCACAGTGGATAGAGTGCCAGGCCTGTAGGTAGGAAGACTCATATTCATGAGTTCAAAAGGCCTCAGACACTTAATAAGTCCATCATTGCTCTGCTCTAGGGCCTCTTCTCTCTCTCTGTTAGTTTGATGATCTCATCATCTCCTATGGATTTAATTAACATCTCTCTGCTGCTGACTCTGAAATCTAGCTTTCCTGCCCCAATCTCTCTACTGACCTCCAACCTCACATCTCCAATTGCCTTTCATACATCTCAAACTGGATTTCCAATAGACATCTTAAACTCAACATGTCCAAAACACAACTCATTAGCTTTCCCTCCAACCTAGAAGTCATCCTGAATTCCTCTCACCGCTCACATCTAATCTGTCACCAAAGTCTGTCGATTTTACCTTTGCAACATCTCTCAAATACGCATCCTTTTCTCCTCTGACACTGCCCACTCTGGTGCAGGCCCTCATCACCTCATGCTTGGATTACTGAAATAACCTGTTGTTAGGTCTGCCTGCCTCAAATTTCTCATCACTCTGATCCATAGTCTATTCAGATACCAAAGTGTATTTCCTAAAACACAGGTCTGCTCACGTCCCACCTTACTCAATAAACTCCAGTGGTTTCCTATTGCCTCCAAGAGCAAAAATAAAATGTTCTGTTGGCATTTAAACCAAATTTAACCTTTGTAACCTAGCCCCCTCCTACCATTCCCATCTTCTCATACCTTACTCCCTGACATATATTCTTTCATCTAGGGATACTGGCCTCCTGGCTGTTCCACAAAAAAGACATTTCATCTCTCAGCTCTGAGCAGTCCCTCTGACTGTCCCTCCTACCTGAAATGCTCTGCCTCCTGAACTTCAACTCCTAACCTCACAGGCTTCCTTTGAGTCTCAACTAAAACCCATCTTCTATAGGAAGCCTTCCCCAACTCCTTTTACTTTCAGTGCTTTCCTTAATTATTTCCTAATTATCCTGTATATAGCTTGCCTTGTGTATAGTTGTTTGCATGTTGTTGCCCCCATTAGATTGCAAACTCCTCGAGGGCAGGAATTGTCTTTGGCCTCTTTTTGTGCTTAGCACAGTGACTAGCACGCGGTAAGTGCTCAATAAATGTTGTTTGATTGATTCTGAGAGACCTATGACCCTTAGGTTGTCCCTATACATCCCGTATTTGAAATTCTTTTGTTTTGCTTCTGGAGTATGCATAGTTTCTTTTAATGTTCCTATTTTTCTCATCTCTTCTTTTAGACTGCCTTTCACTTCTGTGTGCTGGGCCATTGCCCCTCATCTTGGCTTATGTGTTGCCACTGGGCTCTAATGACTCTGGAGGAGAGAGTGAGGCTAATGACTTTGCACAACCCTGGCTCACTTAAATCCAATTCACTTGCAAGTCAAGACATCATCCTCCCAATGTCATTGGTCATCTTCATGAATGAAGGATGAACAACAACAACAAAACAGCCGTCTCATGTTAAATGAGGAAACCGAAGCCCAGAGACAGATATATAATAAGGAATTTTTACGCCTAGGCAAATAGCTGAAATGTGCCTTCTTGGGCAGCTGGGTGGTACAGTGGATAGAGCACCGGCCCTGAGTTCAAATCCGGCCTCAGACACATAACACACATAACACTTACTAGCTGTGTGACCCTGGGCAAGTCACTTAACCCCATTGCCTAGCCAAAAAAAAAGAAAGAAAGAAAAAAAGAAATGCGCCTTCTTTGGGGGTGGGCAGGGGTAGAAGAGGTGAGGTAGGGCATATGTGTATGTTTTGATACCCCAACTTGTGCCATGGAGATAGAAATTTGGTCTTGGGACTGTATGAGAAGCTCTTGTAATTTCCTATTTTAAGGACTAATTCTTGCTAACTAGGTGTCATTTCTAAGATGCAAGTGTGGTGCAGAGGTGAATTTGGGGTCACACGGCCTAAATTGGAGCCGCCTGCGCCCAGCAGCCTGGATGGGCCAGAGTAGTCTAGCTCTGTTAGTTATCAACTGTATGACCTTGGAAAGTCAGTTAACATCGCTAGGCCTCAGTTCCATCATCTGTTAAGTAAGGATTGGACTGAGTGACTTTTCCAAGTCTAGATTTTAGATACTGGTAACCTTCAAAGTCAGGTTTTGGGACAAATGTCTGGCAGAGTCAGGTGTCAAACCACATCCTTCTGCCTTCCCAAGACGCTGGCCAGGTAGGTATGTTGCAAAGGGTGGATGAACGGAACTTGACCCCGTCCCTTTCACAGGAAGGTTTCCCCGCCCCAGCTCTTTTTTCTAAACATCAAGAAGTCATTACAAGAACAAAAGATCTGTGGGTGGGAAAGCTGGGGCGACATCCAGTAGCGAAAGCCGAGAGCATTTTCTGGGATTACTGTTGGCCAGCGCAATTTCCCTATTGGGTCACATGACCCACAGCGAGAACCTCTCCCACTCAGCAGCTCCTCCCAATGCAGAGAACAATGCAATCTAAGGACACGTTCCAGAGGTTTTCTCCGCTGCGGACTGACGGGGCGAGGCAGGGCGGGGTGGCTGCGCCGATGATGAGCTGAGCTTTCTGGGAAATGTAGTGCCTCGCTCTTCTCCTCTTCCGGCTGAGCTGTTAGCTCTCAGCGTTGGAAAGGGGAGGGCACTCGCTGCTTGAGACTACAAATCCCACCACGCACTGCTCTCCCGGCGGAGGAGGGCGTGGTGGCGGTGGGGGGCGGGGATTGGAAACACGGCTTTTGCAGAACGAGGAGCCGAGGAGGGCGGACATGGCTGCGGCTTGTGTCGGCGAAGGCGGCGGCTCCTCTAGCGGTGGAGGCGTGTTCAGGTTCCCGGAATACGAGATCCCGGAGCTGAACACGAAGCCCTTCCTCGTGCAGGCCGTGGGGAACCTGTGGAAGGAGAGGCTTCTCGGGGTCCGTGACTTCTCCTTGGAGCCGCCCGCGCCCAGCAGCCGGACGGGGCTGGAGCCGGCGAGGAAGATGCGGCCGTGGCCGAGGACTTGGGCTGCAGCCTGGAGACCGCGGCCGAGCTGAGCCTCGTGTGTGGGTAAGTGCTCGGGCCCCCTGCCCCGGCTGCTGGGCTGGGGGCGGGCGGGGACGAGGGTCCCTGTCTGAACCCCTGCTCTGCCCAGACCTCACCCCCACCCCCCCCTTAGGACACCCTACGGACGCGTGTAAATGAAATAGGCCGTTTAGGACTGGGGGGCGGAGGGAAGTGTTAACTAGACGTGGGGAAGGAAAGGAGAGGGGTTACTCTGAAGGGACCCAGGCGACCTGTCATCCCTTTGTTACTTAGGAAGGTGCGTATCGTGAAAGAGTAGCAAAAGCTGATAAGGGAAGCCCTTGGATGATGGACAAATCAGGGGAGGAGGAGTTGGTGGGTAATGGAAAGACCATTGGAATTGGAATCAAGTCGGTCAGCCTTTATTTAGTGCCTGCTGTGTGCCAGGCAATTGTGCTCAGCGCTGGGGTTGCAGAAAGAGGCAGAAGATAGTTCCTGCACTCAGCGAGCTTACAGTCCCTAATGGGGAAGACAAATCAGTGGACCTGGGTTTAGATCTCAGTTCCTGGGTGACCCTGGGCAAGTCATTTTACCTCTCTGGGCTTTAGTTACCTCTCTTAAAATAAAAGGTCAGATTTAAGTTCCCTTCTGGCTATGATTACCTTATCTATATGAATTCTCCAGTCTGTGACATTGTATCACAGATAACAGTTTTGAGAGTTTCTTTATGGTTGAAGCACTTGCTTAGTATCTTCTTACTTACTTTGGTCAGTTCCCCTGACTTGCCCCCAAGGAAAAAAAAAATCTTTCTGAGAAAGAAAGACTTGTTGATCTCACTTTGCCACTAACAGGATTGGAAGAATAGAAATAGTCATGTTCCCGTGTTCAAATGTGGCCACTTAGCAGTAGTGTGACCTTGGGCATGTCATTTAACCTATGTTTGCTTCAGTGTCTGCATCTCTAAAATAGGGATAATAGTAGTGCCTATTTCCCAGGACTGTGGTGAGGATCAGATGAGATAACTCATTGAGATGAGTTGTGAAGTACTTAGCACAGTTCCTGACATACAGTAAATGTATAGGTGTTAGCTATCATCATTATTAGCTATTGTTTTCTCAGTGAAGATTTGTTCATTGAATAGAATGTTAACCAATTATATCTATTATTTCAGAGTTACTGTACCAAAAATATTTCATTGAATATAGTTTTCTTTTCTGATACCACAATTTATTACCTTTTTAATTGTTCAGTATGTTGTCACCCTAATAGACAAGGATGGTTATCTCATGGGTAAAAAAATCTAAGTTATTGCATTTCCATCTTTAGCCTGGATAAGTTGAAGTACTGTGAAGAGGAGGATGATCCAGAAGTCATTCCTGAAGACACCAACCTAGTGACTTTGGGGTATGGTAGACTTTGATTTTTAAAAGTTCATTTTCCGTGTAGTAAAGATACTAAACTACACATAATACTGTTATACGTTTTTAGTATAAACCAGATTTCATTTAAGAAATACAGTTTCTTTCAAAATATTTGTATGATGAGGTTTCTAAGCATAAGCCTCTTATTTACTTGTTCCAGACTATTTCTATTAATGATACAGATACCACCTAGGCTAAAAAAAAAAAAAGTCAGCCATGACTTCTCCAGACCCTTGAGATCCATATCCAATCTGTCACCAAGTTCTTTTGAGTCTTCTTTTTTGTATTATCTCAAGTCTTTCTTTCCTTTCCTATTGCCAGCATCCTAATTCAACCCTTATTGTTGTGCCAAAGAAAAGGGGAGATCTCTTTGTTACTTTGAAAAGTCCACTTCAGTAAAGAAAATCAAACACTCATAGAAAAAGATGTCTGTCAGAATGAAAATTCTGAATTTTCAGCAAGTTCACCAAGTAGTTTTATGTCTCTGCTCTCCCCCCATCTCATTCACATTGCATAGTGCTGTCAGATTAATTTTTATAATGTTACTTCCATCTTGTCACTTCTCTGTTCAAAAACCTTCCATGGGTTCCCATTACCTCAAGGACAAAATCCAGATGCCTTAGTCTGATGGTATTCAAGACTCTCCATATTCTGGCCCCAATTTCCCTTTCTAGGTTTATTTTCCACTATTCCTTTCTCCATCAGTGTGCTTTTATATTGCCATCTCTTCTTTGCTTACACTTTATCTCTTGGAATATACTCCTCCCTTTCTCATCCAAACTATTCATTTTTAAGGCCCTGCAGTATAATCTCCGTCATTTAACTCATAAGATTGCTAGCTCTTTGAGGAAGAAGATTTTCTGTCAAACCTCTTTATATCTTTCCTACCCTGCCTCCCATATAGTACCCTGCAGTAGTAGGGTATTGTTTGATTAATTTGGGATTCCTAGGAAAAGTATTTGACCCAATACACTGAAGACTGGCAAGGAGATGAAGATGAATTAAACCTAATCATTATTAAATTGTCACTAAAAGGTTACTTAACTCCTTGCTATTTTTGCTCTTCCTATGGCAGTTTGTCCATATTAGACCTCCCTGAGGTTCCTTTCCCCTTCTCCATTCTGTGGTTCTGCCTGGGTAAAATTATGCTTTTAATAAGTTGTGATGAAGTAAGTTTGATAAGAGGAGTTAGTACCATATTTCTTTTTCCCAGACTAGGTCTTGGAAGACTGTTATACGTTGAAAATGTTGCAGATATCTAAGCAGAGGAACAATTAAAAGGTGGACAAAGTATTAAGCTTTACATGTTCCCCAGTGCCAAAGGTTGTGCTTTTGTTCCTCTTCATCCCCAAACCATACCTACACAAACACCCCTTAGAGAATTGAATTGAATAGCATTTTCTGACTCCAAATCTAGAAATTATTCTCCTAAACTGTACTTCTTCTGAGGGTAGGTGATTGGTTTCACAGAGAAGAAATCTCAACAGAGCAGCCTGTACAGATGTGATGTAAAACTTCATCAGCCCCTCAGGAATTCCTGGGGGTAGGGATATACCCTGTGACTCTACTGGTTGAGGAAATTCCTACCCATGCAGTGAAAAATCATGATTCCAAAGGACTGAGGATGAAACATGCTGCCAGGAAAGGGCCATGGACTCGGATAGATGTGAATTTTGGGGTATGGCCAATGTGGGAGTTTGCTTTGTTTGATGATACATACTTGTCATAAGAATTTTCTTTGTTTAGTCTTAGAGTAAGGAGAGGTTTAGTGACTTGGGGGTGAGGGGGACAGTCATGCAACCAATATATGTGGAAGAGGTGGGACTGGAATCTAGGTCTTCTTGATGCCAAGACCAGTTTTCTTTCCCTTACACTATATTTCCTCTCAGCTTTCTAAAACTGTAGCAGGGCAGATTCTAATATACTTTAATAGAGGGAATCCCCTACAAAGGAGCTCTTTACATTATGAAATCACAGGTCCAGTCCAAAGTAAATGTTGTATAGAACACACACGCATGTATTCCAAGAGATAAAGTGTAAGCAAAGAAGAGACAGCAATATAAAAAAAAATATATATATATATATATATATATATGAATGAGTACACATGCACAAATTGAGTATATGTGTATGTATGTTTGCCCCATTTTGTTATAATGCAGTACCCTTCTCTGACCAACAAAGGGGTTACATGATTGTTAGTTATACATATGGCAGGGGTTGTGGGGAGTGGGAAGTATAGAGACTCTGACATTTGCTTTCACAACCCTCAACAATCTATGTAGCATCTATAAATTTCAAGCTTTAGCCATCTAAAAAAGAGAAGGTCTTGGTTCCCTGGAAAAGAAATTAATTTTTACTATTTGTGGTAATTTTAAGTGCCATAAAATAAACACATGAATTTATGGAAATTTAAATCACCCTTCAGTACATACTCACATGGACCTGTTGATTTAATTTTGTTCTGTGGTCAGGGACAACACTTTCAGCTTCAGTTGTTTAGCAGTTTGTGCTGTTGGTCAAAATGAAATAGATGAGAAAAATTCATTCCAACTCCTAGAAAAAAAGTAAGTAACTTCACCCTGAAGGAAAGCATTTAAATTATTGGCTTAATGTCAGTTGATAAAAATAACATACTCTTGGTTGCAAAAGGAGTTTTTGCCACTGTCTAGTTCTGTGACCTTGGGAAAATTGCTTCCCCTTCCTGGGCTTCAGTTTCCTCATCTGTAAAACTCCTGTAAGAGTTAGTAGATGATGTCTACAGTCCTTTCTCGCTTTACATTTCTGTGATGCTATGTGAACTTAGCCATAGAGGAATTGAGATTGAAATAGTAAATGTGTGTTAGATTTCATTCAAATCATGGGTAGTGGCTTTTTTTCTTGCAGATTTAGGAATAATTTAAATTAAATCTAGTAGTAATCATCTTTGTACATGAATAATTTTTAATCAAATTTAATTAAATTTCAATCTTTGATTTCTCTCACTTTTCTCCTTCCCACACTCATTGAAAAAACAAGAAAAAAACACAAAACCTCTTAACAAGCAAGCAAACCATTCCCAAATTAGCCATGTCCCCCCCCCCAAAAATATGCCTCCATCTATGCTGAGTCCATCACCTGGTTTCTGTCTAGAAGTGGGTGGCATATTTTATGAATCCTTTGAAATTGTAATTGGTCATTTTGTTGACCAGAGTTCCTAAATCTTTCAAAGTTGTTTATCTTTATATCATTGTTATTGTATAAATACTTTTCCTGATTCTTTACTTCCACCAGTTCATACAAATCTTCGCAGGTTTTTTTTGAAACCATTCCTTTTATCATTTCTTATAGAATAATAGTATTCTATCACATTCATATACCATAACTTGTTCAGCTGTTTCCCATTTGATGGGTACCTCCAGAGTTTCCAATTCCTTGCTGCCACCAGAAGAGCTGCCGTAAATATATTTGTGTATATGGGTCTTTTTCCTTTTTCTTTGAACTCAGAGAAATAGACCTCCTGGAGGTATAGCTAGATCACAGGTTATGCACAGTTTAGTTACTTTTGGGTCATAGTTCCCAGGATTGTTGTACTAGTTCATGGCTTCACCAGCAGTACATTAAAATACCCATTTAACCTCTGGTTCCTCCAGCATCTGTCATTTTCCTTTTTTGTCAGCTTAGCCAATCTAATAGGAGTGCATTGCTACCTCAGAGTTGTTTTAATTTGCATTTATTAGTGCAGTTATTAGAGTATTTTTTCACATAGATATTGATACCTTGTAGTTCTTCCTCTGAGAACTTCCTGTTCATATCCTTTAAGCATTTATCAGTTGGGGAATGGCCCTTATTCTTGTTAGTTTGACTCAGTTCCCCAGATATCTTAGAAATGAGATTTTTCCAGAGAAACTTGCTACAAAGATTTCCACCTCCCTTTCCTGCTTTTTACCTAATTTTAACTGCATTGGAAAGACTTTAATTTTATGTAATCAAAATTGTCCATTTCACCTCTTGTGAAGCTCCCTATCTCTTGTTCAGTCGTGAACTCTTCCCCTATCCATAGATCTGACAGGTAATTTCCACGTTCATCTGATTTGTTTATGGTATTACCCTTTATGTCTAAATCATGTATCCATTTGGAGCTCATCTTGGTATATGGTATGAGATGTTGGTCTCTACCTAGTTTCTTAGAGTTTTCCAGCAGATTTTATCACCTAGTAAATTCTTGCCCCAATAACTAGGATCTTTGGGTCTATCAAATGCTAGCTCTCTGAGCTCATTTGATTCTGTATATTGTGTACCTAACGTGTTCCACTTATCAACCTCTGTTTCGCCCAGTACCAGATTGTTTTGGTTTTAGCTTTGTAGTGTAGTTTGAGATCTGGTACTGCTAAGGTCTTCTTCCTTCCCACTTTTTTCATTAATTTCCTCGATATTCTTGACATTTTGTTTTTCAGATAAATTTGTTTATTTTTTCTAGCTCTATTAAATCTTGTGGTAGTTTGATATGGCAGTGAGTAGTAGTGTTTTTTTGGGGGGGATATATTTACAAAATGTTTTCCCACTTAGGTGTTTAACACAATCATCTTCATTGAGTACACTGGAAAGAATTAAGTAAAATTTTCCAGTTTTTAATGAGATCAACAAATTCCCAACATAGGCATTTAAGCACTTACTTGTAGAAAATCTTCATGTTGTTTTACACATAATTTTAAAATCATAGATATCATTGATGTTTTAGTGACGAATTTTTTATTTTTCTAAAACTCCAATAGACTTAGAAAGAGGGCCTTGGAGCATCGAGAAGAAACCATAACAGTAGATCGTATCTGCAGACAAGAAACCTTTGCTTATGAAATGGTAAGATTCCTTCATTTCCTCTTGCTACTCATGAAATAATTTCCTCTTGCTTAGTTTAGTGGCTGAGCATTAATGAAGCCTTTTTATTGTATATGCTTAACTCACAATTCCCAGGCAGTTTTTTAGAATGTATAGAATGCAGTATGGGGAGGAGGAGGAGGAAAAATTACATATAATCCCAGTGACTGATACCCTTACCCTGCTCAGGCTTTGCTTTTGGCCCTGCTCCTAGTGCTTTCCCCTTTCCCCTTTCCTTGGTTCTGTTCTTAGTACTGACTTTGTATCTGTTTCTAACTCTGTTGCTGGTTCTTTTTCTGCTTCCTGCGTGAACCTGGTCTTGTATTCCTACCTCATCTTTCAGGAAGGATGCCCCTGCTCTTACTATAAGAAAACTAGAAATTTTTAGACAGATAAAAGATGAGATTTTATAGCATCATGGAAATTCGTAGGGTCATCTACTTTCTCTTCTATCCTCTTTAAACCTTTTGTTTTATCAATAAATCAAAATTTTAAAAGTAATATACTTAATCATGGCCATCATCAGACATGAAATACAAAACAACTTTTTGTGTTCCAGCAGCTTACTTGGACATTGTTCATTTTTTCTATTTTTCCCCATCAGGAGTCACATGCCATAGGAAAGAAGCCATCAAATCCAGCAGACTTAGTTAATGAAGGAGAACTTATCTTAACTCTGAATATCTTCTATCCTGTTATATTTAGTAAGGTCAGTTCTGAAACCTAATAAAATTTCTTAACTGTGTTGTCATGATTGGTTTCCTGTAATAACCAACCAACAAACATTATGAAGCACCTGCTATGTGCCAGGTACTGTGCAAGGTACTGGGGATGCATAGGCAAAAAAAAAAAAGAAAGAAAGAAATTATCATTGGTTTCAAGGACCTTCCATTCTGTTAGGGGAGGTAACATGTCTATACATATACATGTGTATGTATGTATAAGCACATATAGAATAAAGAACAGGGTAATTAGGGGAAGGAGGATGCTGTCATTTGAGGGGATCAGGAAAGGCTTCATGTAGATGGTATTGCTTGAACTGAGTTCTTGTAGGAAGCAGAGGATTCTGTGTAATGGAGGGCAAGGTGGGGTGTACATTCCAGGACAGAGTGGGGTGGGAGGGGACACAACAGTACAAAGGCATGGGAATGGAATAGGGAGTGTTGTGTGTGAAGTACACAGCTTGGCTGGTGGCAAAGTGTGGGAAGAGGGAGAAATGTATAATAAGGCTGGAAAAGTAAGATGAGGGCTGGGGTTCTTATAATCTAGCCACTGCTCAGATTTTCACAATCTAGCCAATAGCCCATAGATGCTCAGATTCCTTAAGAGTCTGGCTAATATGGTGAATCTTCAATAAATCTTGTTTTTGGCTGAAAGAAGGCTTGGGTCGAATTCTTTCGCGCAGGACCTGCTTGTCATGATTTTGGGGTTCCAGGACCCCTAACCTCTAGACCTTGCCACGTGGTTCCCTGCACTGGGAAAAACTGCCTGTACCAAGCTCTTCACCAGCCAGGACTGGAAGTTTTAACAATTTATACAACAGTAATGAGTGCTGCAAAGCCAGACAAATACATGACTCAGATCAGAAACTGAGGGTGAAAAACGTGAAAAGAAAAGGCTGGATTTTCCAAACACTCCAATTAAAAAAACCCAAGTGAATGTATTGTAATCTTTTTTGAAGACATCCACATTATGCCACGCTACCATATCCAAATGGGACCCTATAAAACCAGTTTTAGTAAGGAAGATGATGACAGCTGCTGCCCAACGGGATTAAATTTTTCAAACTCATTCACAACTGATATTCAGAATCTTCCCTGATTTTATTTATCCTAATTTGAAGATCCTAAAAAGACAGGTGCTGTTGGCTCTGTCTATTCAAAAATTCATACTATTAGTAAATACATAGCCCTCTACTTCTCCATGCCCCAGGCTATCCCCCTGTAAAGTGAACTGGTGAAGATGAATGAACTATTGTAAAGTGTTTAGGGAAGAAATAAAATTCTAACAGATACACATATTGAGCCTGTATGATACCTTCCATTTTGGGTAATGAAAGTATGATTTTTATTATATTTTTCTATGCAACTAGTATATCTGATCTTTTATGAAGTTTCTGTTTAAAATTTCTGCTAGACTTGAGTTAGTTAAAAAAAAACTAACCTATTTTCTTATTGTTTCTAAATAGTAATCCACCATCCCAGTCATCACTATGATTATGTCAATTGCTGGGCTAGGCAACAGATTGATAAACAATTTTGAACAACTGAATAAAAGCTTTATACAGACTAAAAAAAAATAAGATGAGACAAAGTATTTTAAAGACAGCTTAAAAAACCAAAAGAAGGATTTATATTTTATTCTAGAGGCAACAGGAAATTACTAGAGTTTATTGAGTAGGAGATTGATGTGGTCAGATCTGTTCTTGAGGAAAATAATTTTAACAGTTCTGTGGAGGATAGATTTGAATGGAAAGAGAATTGAGGCAGAGAGACCAATTAGGCCATTTCAGTCATCTAGGTAAGAGGTAACGAACACCTAAATTAAGGAGGTGGCTGTGTAAGAAGCCAGAAAGAGTTAGATATGAGAGATGTGGACATCAGATGGCAAGATCTGATAAACTGATTTGATGTGAAGAGGAGCAAGGAATCAAGAATTACATGAAGGTTATAAACCTGGGAGGCTGGGAAATGTGTTCTGCAGAAAGTTCAGTGGGGGTAAGATTTGGGACAAAAGATGAGTTTTGTTTTGGAATTTGAAATGTCTCTTAAGAAATTAGTTTCACATGCCCTATAAGCAGTTGGGAAAGCTGGAGTTCATTTATTGTTCTTTTCCTTTGTTTCACATTCTACAGGATCCAGAAATAATACTACCAAATGCTATTTAGAGTTAAAAAGACTGTCTTTGGATCTGAAAGTCCACATGGGCTCAAAAACTTATAAATGCGTGATGAGTTGGATTGAAAGGTTTTGTGTTTATAAGGAAGAACCTTGAATAGAATGGAATGTTGGATAATCTAGTTGAGAGGTCAGCCTCATTAAATTAGTATTCATACCTAATTTCTGCATAAACTGTTGGACTCATGAATAGACACGTAATTTTCACAAAATTACTGAATGTTAGAGCTGGACTAGACCTTAAAGATCATCTAATCCCTTTGTTTTAAAGATGAGGAAAATGAAACAGTGTCCTGAAGTTACTGCGTAAAGTGGCAGAACTAGGTTTTGGACACATTTGTTCTACTTTTGAGTCCAGTGTTCTTTTCCACTACAATACGTCTTTGCCTGTAACAAAGCAGAAAAGCCAAGTTACATTAATTGGAAATTGAACCTGGATCTACTGATAGGGTTCTTGCAGAGAAGTCTTTTCTGTCACTAAGCAACCAATATCCTGCTTTTAAAAATTCTTCTGGTTAAAAAAGAGAGAAATATATATGTATACACATATACTTAACATGTATAAAAATGGTTGTATTTTCCTTAATATTACATTAAGTGATAAAAGAGGATGTCTGTTGTATCTACCTTAGGGGTGTTAATTTTAAGGACAAAATGATGTAATAAATTCAAAAGCATGTGGAAAAAAATGTAGAAGTATAGATATATTTAAAGTGGCAGTGTGGCAGTATTGCTCCACTTAAATACAGGTAATCTCTAGCTTATAAGTATACATTTGCAACCTATGATAAAAAAAACTCATTTATATAATATCTTAAGGTTTATAAAATGCTTTCCTCACAGCAATCCTGTGAGATACGTAGAAGATTAGCATCTCCATTTTGCAAAGAAGAAAAAAAGGTTTGAAGAGGTTAAGTGTCTTGCATAAGGTCAACTCATTTAGCTGCCAACATAACTTTTTAAGTGTTGGAAATGGGATTTGAACATGGGTCTCTCTTTACTTTTAAGTCCAACATTGTTTCCAGTATACCATGCTTGCAAAGAAAGGTCCCTAATCCTGGTGCAGGTGCATTTCCCCTTTTGAAGCTGATTTTGTCTTGCTATTTGATTTGTAGCATAAAGAACGCAAACCCTATCAAACCCTGCTGGTATTGGGCAGTCAAAAGCTCACAGAGCTCAGAGATTCATTTTGCTGTGCCAGTGACCTTCAGATTGGAGGCGAGTTTAGCAGCACACCTGACCAGGCACCAGAGCACACCAGCAAGGTAAGGTGATTTTTCACAAAAATTAGGCAGTTGATAAAGTGGTACATATATAGTTGTGGTTTATAATGTTAGACAAATGTTCCATTAAATGCCCTATATGGACAGGCTTAAAGATAGAGTGATTTTTTTCAAGTTAGCTTTCTTGAGTGTTTCATAGAAAATGCAAATGCTATGGAATACATACACTAGGCTCTTGAGAAATGAGCAAAATTTCAAAACCATCAGTAAACTAAAGGAAATGAGCTTTGTCTGTTGTTAGTTGCCTCTAGAGGAGGAGGAGGAGGAATGAACTTTACTTTTTTGCCCTAGGGATACTGCACCAGTTTATGAATCAAGACCAGCTCTAGTCCCAGGTCTGCCACTTACTATCCACATTATCCATGTGATCTTTGGAAAGTCACTTAAACTTTTGAATCTTCAGTTTCCTCATCAGCAAATTGAGATATTCATATATGTCCTGTATGGTTACCCACCTTTATCACATTTGGGTATCATAGTCATGGATCTAGAGCTGGAAGGGATCTGAGGCCCTCATCAAGCCCCTCATTTAACAGATGAGGAACCCTAACGAAGAGGGTAGATAACTTGCTGAAGGTCACAGAGAGAGTGAGCTTCAGAGCTGAGATCTGAACCTAGGTCATCTGCTGCCTCTTCGCAGTACCACTTTGTAACTTCCACCTCAGTAATGTATATATTTAAGTACTTTGAAAAACATGAAAACCATTATATAAATGTAAGATAATTTTTGTCACTATGAAAAACATAAGTTGAAACTGTTAAGGAATGAATTTTTTTTAATCTCTTCTTGGTTTTTTTTTTAAACTCCTCATTTCCAATCAGTTATCAAGTTCTAATTGGTCTGCCTCAACAATCTGTATCATATCCATATTTCTCTTTCTGTTCCCATTGCTGTCTTCCTAATTCACTCTTCTGTTGGAGTAGCCTCATAACTGTTTTCCTTACTTCTAGTTTCTTCTCTAGTCTATCAGTGAAGAAGATTGGTCCCACTCATCTTTCTAACACAGCAATGATCTCACTCCCTTTCTTGTACTACATGTACATGCTTTGACTAGACTTGGAAGTCATAGAATCTTAGAGCTAAAGAGAACCAACCATAAGGATTATCTAGTCCAACCTGTTTTTTTTACAGATGGGGAGACTGAGGTCCAGAGAACATTCTTATCTTTCAGTGCCCAGTTTAGGGGCCACCTTTATGAAGCTTGGATTGTTCATAGTACTTTGTATGTCTTCTGTGTACTTGTCATTTGATGTTTTATAATTATTTATACCTGTGTTTTAACCACGATAATAGATTATGAACTCTTTGAGGACAGTCTTAGATATCTTTGTATCTCTCCTAGCACATTGCATTTAATGTGTAGCCAGTACTCAGTGTTTGAAAGAAAAGGACTACCAAATTTCACAAAGTAGTATTCCTCTCTTCTATCATTATTCCCTTCCCTACCAATTAAATTAACTTTTAACTGTATTATCAATATCATGTTAGTGTTCTGTTTCATTCACATGATCTTATACTATAGGAAGTGTTTTATAGCTAATCAGGTGGAGCTATTAGTATATTACAGAGGGAACTTATTGCTCATTATAGATCCAGTATAGCAATAATCTGGTATAACTTCATGATAAACATGCATTAAAGAGGCAATAAGAAGGAACAACTTGTTGTTAATCATTGAAAATGGCAAAATTCACTAATGAGAAGGTTATTCCTATTTTATATGTCTTCAGTACGTTATTCTTATGTTTTGAAATAGACAGAAGTGGTAATTAGGGAAGTTTCTGCTAAATTTAAGAGTTAATTTATCTCTTCCAAGATTTCAACTCAGGGTTTATTCTTAGAAGCATTTCAACAGACAGCTATATCAAATAAGGCATTATTAAATTTATTGAAATTATTAAAGAAGACATTTGGCCAATTTATTTAATTAATGCCTTTACATCTAGTTCCTCATCCTGATGTGGAGTGGCCTTGAGTTCACAGAGGCTGTACCAGAACAGCAATAAACTTTGGGTAAAAAAAGACATACTGAACTGGAAAGGCTTGGAATGCAGGTTTGAGGTCTGAGGAACAGTCTAGCTAAGTTATGGGAGGGGATACCACTGGACAATTAACCCCTAAATTAAAACTGTTTTAGCTACAGTAGTGCTAAGTCTTGGAGTAATTGAGACCTGTGTCTCCTGGAAGGGTGCCTACATCAATTAAATTAAAAATCTTTTAAGATATTTAAATAGTGAACTAGATATCTATAGACTAACCATCCTTTTTTGTTATTTTATCCAGAATTATTTGTTAAAACTCCTTGGTTTGATTCTTTGCTTAAATTATTATTAGCTAGAAAGAAGAGTGATAAGAAGAGAAGGGCTAGGAACAGAGGTGAGAGCAGTAGAACTTCACTGGATCCATGAATCCTCACTCCCTGCAGTAATACAGCTCATGACCCATTTATACCCTTCTCATCCATTTTTGTGTTTATCCGTGTCTTCTTCTAAGTCCTCCATTGAGGATATACCCAGTGTGCTGGTGGTCTTCTGGACTTATGAAAAAAATATCACTGGTAAAAGTTTTATCATTTGAATTTGTCTTTCATTCTTTATTCTCATTATGTGGTTGACCTACTTTTCCAACTATAGATCTTCTGGATGATATCTTTTATGCTCTCACCTATGGACAGATCATCATTGGTTAACATACTGTAGATGTTTCTCTATTTCTCTTTAAATCACCTGAGATTTAGGGTTTTTTGGAGATTGTGGTTTTCCATAACTCATAGCCATATAACATCACTGAGGCAATACTGATGTTAAAAAGATGGATTTTTATGTTGCGGATTAGCTGAGATATTGTTAAAAGTGCTGTGTAGTTTACCATATGTAATCTAGTTAGCTCTCTTCCTATACTATTTTGGGCCCAGCGAAACCTCTATCTGTATTGTCTGTCTAAGGGGAAACTATGTACCGATAGATTAATTTAGTGGGCTTCTAATTCAGGAGTATGTCTTACTAACCTAAATAATTAGAGATACAGTAATTCCTCGTGGGTAGGCTATACCAATATAAATAAAAAATGAAAATACTGCCTAAATTAATGTACTTATTCAGTTCCATGCCAGTCAGCATACAGAGGAGCACTAGCACTTGCAGCTACAGGGGAGTAGAGGCACTAGTTAGAGTTCAAGGCTGGAGAAGAGTATTTGTGGTCCCTCACAAGGGAGCAGGGACCCTGGTTGCAGCTGCAGGGCTAACAAGAGCACTAGTACTTGTAGCTACAGAGGAATAAGGGTCATTGTCAAAGTTCCAAGGCAGAGAGGAACACTAGCGCTTGCAGCTGCGGAAGAGCTGGGGAACTAGTCATAATTCCAGGGCTGTGAGGAGCACCAGTGCTTGCAGCTGCAGAGCAGCAAGGTCCCTTCCTGAGTAAAAGCCAGAGCACAGGCCAGGAGAGTAGTGACCACACCTCTCCGTGGATCATACTGTCTTGGAAGCACCAAAAACTTACAGATGCCCAGAACTAGTTCTGAAAACAGGAGCACAAAAAACCTAAAGCTTAGGACAGTGCCCCCATCCACCCTGGGAACAGAGTCCAACTTTAAAATAGAGTTCAAAATCAAGAACGAGGCTGGAAAAGTGAGCAAACAACAACAAAAAAGAACCTGATCATACAAATATACTATGGTGACAGGACAAATCAAGACACAAACTCAGAAGAAAGATTGATATCAAAACCTCTACAAGCAAAGCCTCAGAGGGAGAAAAAATGGGAACGTAAACACTAAAAGAATTCCTGGAAGAGCTCAAAAAGGATTTAAAAAATCAAATAAGAGAGGTACAGGAAAAACTGGGAAGGGGAGGGAGTGGGTGTGATGCAAGAAAATTATGAAAAGAGTTAATAGCTTGGTAAAAGCCACCAAAAAGTACTAAAGAAAATAAGACTTTAAAAAACTGAATTGGCCAAATGGGAAAAGAGGTACAAAAGCTTGCTGAAGAAAAGAATTCTAAGAAACAGAATTGGCCAAATGGAAAAAGAGGTATAAAATTATACTAAAAAGGATAATTCCTTAAAAATTAGAATTGGGTAAGTAGAAGCTAATGGCTCCATGTGACTCAAAGAACAATAAAGGAAAGTCAAAAGAATGAAAAAATAAAAGAAAATTAAATATCTCATCAGAAAAACAAATGACGGGTCAGGTAGGTGGCGCAGTGGATAGAGCACAGGCCCTGAAGTCAGGAGAACCTGAGTTCAAATCTGGACTCAGACTAAACACTTGACACCTACTAGCTGTGTGACCCTGGGCAAGTCACTTAACCCCAGTTGCCTTAAAAAAAAGGGAGGGGAAAAAAAAGAAAAGAAAAACAAGTGACCTAGAAAATAGTTCCAGGAGAGACCATTTAAGAATTACTGGAATGCCTGAAAGCCACATCAAAGAAAGAGCTTAGACATCATATGTCAAGAAATTATCAAGGAAAACTGCCCCAATATCTTAGATCCAGAATGTAAAATAGAAATGGAAAGAATCCACTGATCACCTCCTGAAAGAGATCCCAAAACTTCCAGGAATATTGTAACCAAATTCCAGAGTTTCCAGGTCAAAGAGAAAATATTGCAAGCATCCAGAAAGAAACAATTCAGATATCATGCAGCTACAGTCAGTATTGCTCAAGATTTAGCAGCTTCCATGTTTAAAGGAACAGAGGGCTTGGAATATGATATTCTAGAAGGCAAAGGAGCTAGGATTACAATAAAAAAATTACCTACCCAGTAAAACTGAGTATAATCCTAAAAGGGAAAAAATGGATAGTCAATGAATAGAAAACTTTTGAACATTCCTGGTGGAAAACACCAGAGCTGAATAGAAAATTTGACATTTAAACACAAGACTTAAGAGAAGCATAAAAAAGAAAACATGAAAATGAAATCATATGGGATTTGATGTGGTTGATACATTCCTATGTGGGAAGATGATACTTTTAATTCCTAAGAA